CAAAAAGTGCTAGTAAAGAGAGCCACAAGAACCCCTAGTGAATGAATTTGAAAAAATTCTAATAAGTAGATCTATGAACATTCTTATTTTTGTATGATATTTAGGAATAAATAAAAGAAAATCTGATTACAAATTTACAATAAATAAAAGGAATTGACTTTTTAAATTTTCAAATTATGTTGTGATATGAGAACCAATAAGCTACTAGAAGTATTAAAACACCCATGTATTATATAAATTCTAATTAATAGCTTTATACTTAAAAATAATAAAAAATAAAAATAAAAAGAAATCTTCTTTTAAATTTTTAAATTCTGCTTAAATTTATATTTTATTAAGAATGACAGTTATAGCCTATACTATAATACTTTGTCTAACTCATATTGTATAATAACCTTAATAGGGAAATTCATTCCATTAATAAATAATAATTTTATTATAATTATTTTTTACTTAAAATTGATTAAATAATTTAATTTTTCTATAAAGGTAGACATGCTTGTTTTATTGAAAAAAAAAAAGCAAATAATTAATTGTAAGATATAATATTATATAGAAAATCAATTGTTAGTCAATTAAAAATAACAAATCTGTTTTACAAATTTACAACAGCTATCCATTTGACCTTTGTGGTTGTGTTTTAAAATTGCACCTATAGCTTTCCGTAAAAAATAATATTGGCAATACATTTTTAATTCAAAAAGTAAACAATTTTTTTAATAATTTGACTAATTAAACCTCTAAGAACACTTTGTCAAGTTCTCTCCAATAAAATAAGATGCAAAATATTAGAAATGATCACCTACCCACGGTGGGCACATGTTAATATGCCCATCGCGTAGGTGGCATGCACTCATTGGTGATGTTAATATATTTAGAAAAATACATCACCAATGACTGTATGCCACCTACGCAGTGGGCATATTAACATGTGCCCACTGTGAGTAGGTGAATATTTCTCTGCAAAATATTATCCGCGTTTAGTAATTATAACCGTAAACGCTAAGTCCACCCCCTAGAATTCTATATTTATTTTATTATATTTTAAAAGTTAAAAACCTTTTTTATTTTAATTTTCTAGATATATTTTATCAAATTTATCTTCTTTTGATGATATCCAATTTTATATCCATATCACATATACAAATTTAAAATTCATTTCATCTATCTTGATAAAGCAATTTTAAACTTATTTATTTACGAAACCAAATTCAATAATACAAATAGAACTATATATTATCTTACAAATAAAATAAAAAAATATTTGGATAAATATAGCATAAAAAAATGTACTAAATTTAATATACTATTCCACATTAAGAATTATGAAATGAAAAGTGATATATGGATATTAATGTAGTAGTTTTTTTTTTTTATTACTTTAATCTATTC